TGAATTTAATTGAATTGTATCGTGCGCCTCTGTCTTATAAGCAACACAAAGCTGCCAGGAGAGCACTTAAGACGCCGTGCCCGGATCCCAGAGTCAGGAGGCTTTAGCTGAGGCGCATACAATCACAATAATATGGGAAGATTTTTTAATATTGCCCTGCCACTGCTCCCTAAAGCAATCACAGCAAACTCACTGCATAAGGGTGGGGGAGACTAAATTGGATTATGGGCCACAAGCACTTTAATTTTGTTGCGGGAACTAAAACGGATGAAGAGGCATCTGCATCACTTTGCCACCGCAGGACAGGAGATAGTAAATATGGTCTCTGGGTTTTTAGGGTGGACTCTGACAGAGAGACTGGTCACTCAACTTTACTCCCACTACGTCGTAACTTCAGAAAAAAGAAACTCCTCAAAGCAGTTTATACTCCATTTGTGTTTAGTTGGCGTTAATACCACATGTTGCATGACACAACAATGAACACATCTTGATCTAATCTCAGGTAATTATCCAATTAGCGCTAATTGAACTTCTCTTCTAATGAGGATGGGATTGTTTGTGCAGTGTCCTTGAAAATGAATAACTGTAATGATTCCTGGCAGCAGAGTTTGGATAATCACATCTTAATTATGGTGCACCTGTGACAGTTATTATGCCACTTTGGACAAGATCACAGACATGCAAACAAGAGCCACAGAGAGGTGAAAACAACCCAAAACGAATCTCAATTTCATTGAAAAGCACACGCACGCACGCACGCAACAAATCGATGAAGCCAATTAAAGTACCGTAATAACTTAGATAATCTTACCAAAAATGGATCCCTTTTGACCTTAAACAACTTGACCTATTGCCAAATTCACTACCAATGTCTCCTCAGCAATAATCTCCTCACTATATAAATGCAACTATAAAAAACCCTCAGACATAGCCCTTTGTTTTTTTCTTTACTGTTCGATGATCTGCCCCTTTTCTGTCCTCTCCCATGCACTTTTTTTTTACAAGCCAATTCCTGAGTAGAACCTGTGAACCTGCTGAGACGGATGACACAGTCAAGGTTATAGAGCATTACATTTTGTGGCACTTTGTAAAACGCTTATGTGAATTTAAAGCATGTTTGCAAGCTCAGGAAACATGTGAAAGCTTAATAACTGTGTAAGCAGAAGACTCGCATCTCTGGCTTTTGTGAACTGATGCGGCACTTTGAGCAACATAACCAACATCTTTTCCAAAATGACCTTTCTTTTGTTAATTATCATGTAATTGCCTTTGCGACATAATAAAAATAAAATTAAGCAATTTACTTGTGATGTTCTGCACTGCTAAGTGTGACTTCAACCTGCAAAATCCAATGAGAAGGTAATTGATTGGGGGGGGGTATATGAACTGCTGGAGTGGAGTTAGTTAAAGTTCCTCGACGTTCAGCTATAAACTTCACAGCATCTAAGACAGAGTAGCATCACTGCAAGGGCAGACATTGCCTGCTGCTTCCTCCTGAGACAGTGATGGACACAGACTGAAAGCCACATGACACTTAGATTTTCTTCTATACCTATTTCTTGGAAAACTCAGCCTGATATAAAGAGACTTAGTACGCCAACGTTTGTTCTAAATCAAAGTTTAATTTGAAAGCAGTGCCTATAGAAAACCCAATTAACAAGGTGAAAACGTTTCAGTCAGATTCAAGTTGTTCACAGTTTCTTTTTTTTTTCTCCAATGTTCTTATCACACAGTCCTTTTCTATTTCTTTGAGACTGAGTAAGACCTGCAAGTAAAGCTTTCCCTGTCGTCTTTCAAATACATTTTGTTTGGAATATAATTATGCATTCATTATTTTATTAAAGTAAGCTTATAAAGTATTAATTTAAATCTTCAGCTGTTTTCACACATACGCTCTACAAATTTTCTGGGAAATGGAAGCACAGTCTGACCCTTGAATCTCTTAAGAGTTTCTTATTTACATATCCCCAACAGAGGGAAATTGTCAGCTGTGTTTCATGAACTGGCGGATCGTAAGTGACAGGTCCTATAAATGTCATCACCCAGGCAAACTTGCAGTGAATTTTCCTGAATATTTCCTGCTGCATGCACACATGTGCTCACTCCAACGTCACGCAGAAATTTTACCAGGGGTCTGGCAGGAATAAATCGGGTTGTCGATGGAAAAGTTGTCCTGTTTATATTTACATGCGGCTCAATTTACAGACATTTTCAGGAATATTGTGCTTGTGTGAAAACACAAAAATCAAATAGGACTTAACTGAAAATAATTTATTTTGTTCTTTCAGCTATGACTCTAGACTATTAAGGCATAGCAGCTATCTCCCTGGGTTTATTTGTTCGTGTCCTTTGATTTGGATTCAGAGAAGGAAGCAAAAGGCCTGCCAGCTTATTTGTTGTAACAGGTAACTGAAGGGGAATCGCAAAATACTTTGCTATCCATATTACTCAAGGTAAACAGTAAGCACACACATTCAATGTTTGCCATTGTTCGCACCTTTTGTTCTAATATTAAAAGTGCAATGCTAAAAGAGCGCTTTGTAGCATTAGCTAGGGCCGTATTATTACAGAACTACCATCAATTTTTGATTGGTTTATGGAATTAAATGGGAAATGTTTTTAATAAATATCCAACCATCATCCAAATTCATATCTGACATCGGAAAAGTTTACAAAAATGTAAATGAGAAAGTGTAAAATGTATGCTATTTATTTCTATAACTTTTGAGTTGCTTACAAAGTTAGTTTACATTAGGCTCTATAAATTATATCATTATACTGTTGTACTGGATTTAGGTTTCAGGGGCTTCAAGATTAACACTGGACCAGTGTCTGAATTGGCAAAAAGTTAGGGGACATCTCCCCCTCAAGGCCAAATGGAACAAGAGGGGGCAAGAAGCAGGGAGAAAGATGAGAGAGTGTTAATCAGCAAGACAACTCTGTAGCCTAACAAACAGCCCTAATTACACAGGGATAAAGACTTGTTCATCACAGAGCTTACGAGACGCAAGTTAATTGCCTCTGCTTGCGGTTCCCTCCCTCCATCTGAAATCAGCTTGTTCCAAAGTCACTTGGAGCAAGTGCCGCTACTTTCATTTTCTGGTTTCCTCTAAGTCTTTGCCCTTATTGTTTTTCAGGGGTGGCTCCCACTTCTTACAGGAATTCTTTCTGAAGCTGTGCTATGATATGAAAAAGAGGGGGAAAAGCTTTGAATGTGTTGAATGTTTACCATTACATCTTGAGAGTTCAAACACAAGAGAAACAAATGCACATAGGATGTATGCACACTGCTTGAAATCTATACCCTACATAGCACTAGAGCTGCAGCCTCAAGCAGTAGAGTCTATTGCTCTCCTTTTGTAAGGTTATTACCGGTGATATGGATGCATACATACAGTAGAGGTCACAGAGCAATGATATTCAGTATGAAAGCAGAGAATTGAATTCATGTCCTTCTAGCATGTACAGCCAAAGTACTCCTTGACTGTGCCTTTGGCCGCTGAGCTGCATGGATCAATATGCTAAATATACTTGTGACTAATGTGTTCAAGACGGTACTTTAGATGTGTTTGTATGTAGTAGATCTGCAGTGAACTGTGCCTGTGTTTGTGTGGGTGATTACGGTGCCAAGGAGCGTTATCCTCAGCGCTATGGTAAACGTGATCAGAATAAAATGGGCAGCCAAGAAAAAGTAAAGAAATTTAAAGTCAAAAGTTTCAACAGTGAGCTTGTCATGCCTGCCGAAAGTCTAAAATGATCAAAGCACAGCAGAAAGCAACAAGTGTAAAGGGAGGAAACCACAGTTGTGAATCACACAAGCATCCCTTGACAGTTTTCCAACATTGAGTTTAAAAAAATCTACTAATCTACTTATGCGGAGATATTCATATCACATGAACTGTAAAATGATGAGGCAGAAAATTGCACCAGGGGCATTTACTCCATCATTTTATATTAACCACTTAGAAACAGCCCATCCATTATCTGTTACCTGGAAGGTGGATTCATATGATCCGAGATAAAACGTGCTCCTTCTCTGTGTCAACACGTTTCAAAAGATTGATGTTAAAGGTATATTTCATGTGGTCGTGTATGGTTTCATAAATACCGTGTCTTATGTGAAGTGTGGATTTCAGCTGACATGAACAGTAATGTCACTTCATTATTAAATAATAAACTGAATAAAAAACAGCTCTCTCTTTACTCCTTTTTTTCTAAATAACCTAAGGCGGAGGTCAGCAGGGTCAAATACACAGAGAGCCATAAAAAGGTTTCGCATGCTTTGGCCATGTCGTTTATCACGTCCCCAGCGGCCTTACAGCAACAACCAGAGGGACAGGCGTTAAAACATTGCTTTGCACTTCCAAGTGACCTATATGACCCCCCCACCCCCCCCCCCGACATTTTAGACATTAAAACAGAAATCAAGGCCACTACAACCACAATGATATTTCATAGACGTTAAAGTCCTTAAGAACGGCGTAAATTTTAACTGTGAGGCCTAACAAGTAGAGTATTATCTCTACTTTCCCTTTGAGAATATTTAAAGGACGTTGGTGACTTTAGTCTGTTGTTTCAGGGATGAAGTGATTTACTGGCTCTTCATTAATTTTATTGGAAAAGTTAATTGTTCAATTTCCTGATAACTGCAGCAGAATGTGTACCCGCATTAAAAATGTACCGTTTCAGCCAAATGTTTAAATCTTCTGACTGTTATCTCCTGTTGTGCAGTGGACAGAATCAATTCCAGAATAAACAACTACTAAATCCTCACAGATGGGTCTCCCTGAGGCAAAACCTTATCATTCAGAGTGTGTGTGCGTTGAATAATCGTTTGGTTTATGCCAAAGAATAGAAAAAAAAAAACTCAGTTAAAAGTTAGGTGGAAATCTAAAATCAGTAAATGTCTCCTATAAAACCCCTGGGCATGCTTGCCTCTGGCCAACAGGTATAGACTTTAAAGCACAGGTAAAGTAAGTGGGAATCACACAAACACACACCTGCCGTTGAGCAGGGCAAGGAGCTCCCCAGCGTGGTACAGGTCGTTGCGTGTCACCCGGCTGAAGCGGAAGGAGTTGAGGTTGCAGAAGGTGACTGAGGGGAACACCATCTCAGGGGCCGCCACCTCGTCCAGCTTGGTGACATGCGGGTACTGGAAGTAGAGCTGAACCCTGTCCACACACACCATCATCAGCACACCCAGGGAACCTAGGAAGAACAAAATCCACAGGCTGCGCTTGATACACATTCGCTCATAAGTGAACATGTGCGAGATGCCGTGCAGCGTGGACCTGCTGGCAAAAACTTCAATGGGTGCCGGCTGCTTGTAGTCTATGTCCTCCGAGTCCGCTTTCAGATCCATTATGTCTCCGTGATGAGTTAAGCTGAATGAAGTGTATCAGGTTCAAAATCTGCCTTTATATACAAGATGGGTTTTTTTTTTTTAATTGTAAGGAGGTTGCTGCCTGCAAGTTCACGCCCTTCTACGCATACATTCCTCATGCAGTCTGTGGGAGATGTTGCGTCACTGACAGCCGGCTAAACAACCCGATATACACCGCATTTTAACCAAGATATCCTCAAAATACCACCGTCCTTAACATGTGAAACAGTGAAGAAAGTAAAGATGTTGAAAGCACAAGTTGTACTTCTGCTGGGGGTCACAGTTCCATAATAATAAACAGCCCGGCGTGGATGCGCGCATGGAGCGATGCCAACGCTGTCCTCTCCTCGCACACTTCTTCTGTATTAATGACCGAGTTGACGCTTGGCTTTTCTCGTTCAAAACAAAACGCACTTAGCAGAGGGAAAGGGCAATATGAGAATCCCAGTTCAGAGGAAGAAGAGGACAAATCACATCAACGGGGAAAGCAGCGAAATCAAGACAGAGAAAATCAAAGCGGTGTTGTATCCTCTCTGTGTGTGCACGGCAGGCAGAGTGCACTGCCTGTATGGCTCTCCATGCTCATCATATGCAATCCCAGCACGTGCAGAATAACAAATCGCAGCTGATTTGTCGCTCGTTAGCGTTTTAAAAAAGCAGTCCTCGGTGTGTCCGTGGGTTTTCTCAGCCGTATAGTAAACAGCTGCATCACAGAGGAGCTGGCTCTGTCAGGTATAGCTGCCTCGGTGCGCCTCTGCTCGCTCGCTCGCTTGTATCCATCCCCTCCTCCGGGCTGCCCCCACACAACAATGCAGGGATAATTACTCCGGCTTCATTTAGATTACAGCTGGTTTATCCTTCAATAAGAGAGTTATGAGAAAATATAATGAGTGCCCGGGCTAAAGAGGTATATACCACGCGAGGTGCTCAGCGTTGTGGATTCAGGGATTCCACCTCAGAGGCGGTCGCGCTTTGCCCGGATCAATTAAATTCGCCCCAAACAGGAGAGAGCAACGATAGGACGGTGTGTTTTACACCGGGTGACGAAGTCCAACGTAGGGGATACTTCGGCAAAGCCTGGGCGTTATCCAGAGGTGATCCAGTTTAAGTGTATTCAGCCGACAATTTCAGTTATTGCAATATGACATGATGACTCAAAACCTTCACCGCCATCCAAACACCTTACACCTGAGTGAGACTGGCAGTCCTCCAGAACTTTCTTCGGCTAGGAGTTTTTAAGTTTTCATTTTAAAGGGCAACATTATGACATAATGTCAACTCATTATCAAAAGGGAAGTTGAATTGAGTTAACATACCTGGTTTATCTGCTAACAAAGCAGGCTAAAGTCAATGCCAAATCAATTACAATAGTTAAGGTGTCACCAAAACGAGGCGTTCGCTGACGGTCAGGATAAGTGTGAATCTGGCTTCAGCTACCGGGTGGTATGGTGGCCCTGAAGGGCAAAACAATATAACTTTCCTTCGAGAAACAAAAGTCAATTTAACAACTTTTCACAAAACAAACTTCAAGTGTTCACAGAGGGAAGTTCAACAAACAACATTTACTTATCTTTACACAGTTGCCATTTAATGCATGTATCACTAGGCTACATGTACAGTACAAAATATGTGCCCCAAAAAAATAATGACGGTGTTGTAGCTGCAGGTGTTCACACTTTGAGCTATAATACCATAAAACATTCAGATGAGGGACATGTTTACACATTACAGATTGACATAATACCTCCTAAACTTTCATCTAGAATACCGACTGTGTTTCATGTACAGTGTTTTTATTTATTGTAATTTCTGCTTCTGTTTAATTAGCATGTAGCCAAGGAAGGTTAGATGAGGTTTTAAAATTTTCTAATATAGCAGTTATCAAAAATGTGTCTGCCTACACGCGACATGGAGCATTTAAATGAATTTTATTCACTGCTGGTGGTGAACTTTTTAAAAATTGGCTTCTGACTGTTAATGTGTAATTTTCAAATGCGAAAAGTTTAAAAAGCTAGCATCTCAGCAACATACAGGCTTTCTTTTTTGTAAATTCAAAGAAATAACCACTGTGTCAGTGAAATTGCACTTAATCCAGTGAAAATGAAAAGATTGGAGAAGAGTTACAGTTAACTTTTTCCCTAATAGCTTACCAGAAAAGGATACCAACCAAAGAGACCATTGGCTCGCTTGAAGTGGAAGATTCCCATTAGTGTACAGACGAGATAATTAAATAAAGGCCTCCCAGAAGGCTACTTTAGCACTCAAAATTAAGAGGGGTAGAGGTCCTCATGAAGAACTAACAGCTTCCAGGCAGTGTAACTGAAAGACAGCATTACTTTGGTGTTAGATGTCAAAAACATCCGATATTTTATATCATATTTAGTTAAAGAAATTAGAAGAGAAGCAAAGTTTTTAAAGTTCACAAAGTAATAATGTTGCAGTATTCGGTTCATAACTTATCAGATGTCTAGTCATCGGTACTGCCGACAAACATTTGTATGAATAAATATTTTTAATCAAAGACACACCCGTTTATACTGCGGGCAGAAACCAAACACACACTGTAAATCTGTGGGATGAGTTGTACATTTCCTCTGTAAAGCAGTGATATGTTAAACAAATACAAACAAACATGCATATGAGCAAGCATCAGTTCGCAGGCAGTGCACACACATGCAGTACCACACATACACATTCACCCATGTTTATACATGCGTGCACACACACAAAGTTGTATGTGGTGTCACACAAATCCTCGAACAAATCCATTTTCTCCCTTGACCAATTCTCTATAGTTGACTGAATGTAACATCCAAATATGTCAGAGTGAGTGAGCGAGCCAAACACAGGCGATAAGGCAGATGTGTCGCAAGACTGCTGGTGCCAAATCTATCATAGGCACCGTATTGCCAAGAGGCGAGGGGAGCTCACCCATGAAATTGTTCATAATTCGTCCATAATTGCCATTTGCCATAGTATTGACTGTGACAATGTGGCATCTCATATTGATCAGCAGTGCTGAGAAGATGAGCCATGCCTCTGTTACAGTGAGATGATGTGAATTCTGGGTAGTCATTGCGCACCAGTGACACACATGGGTTTGATATTACAGTGGATATTAAATTACTGAAGAACACGTTGAAAGCAGATGCTGGGATTGAAGTAAACCCATATTTAGCTTTTACCATGGTCATCTGTTGTTACAGTGATGCAGTAGTATCTTACCCAGAGGATACTTTGAACCATTTACATGATACTTACTGGAGAATATGAAAGAGTAATTCTCCTCCAAGGTACCTTGGTTAATAGAACTCTCTGACAAAGTTGTTTTTTAAGGCAACTTTCTTAGGGAGCTCTTTGGTTCAGCTCTGCCGAAATTTCCTGCAGTCTCAGGCCTGCTGATGAATACATTTTCATTCATTTCCAACAAGAGACAGACACTTTATTTTATAAAGAAAATCTTGAAAGCTAAGAAGTTGAAAAGATAATCTCATTTATTAGCAGCAATTCTGTTAAAAAAAAGTACAGAAGTGGAACTAGCCACTATTGCCAAACTGGTTATAAGGTCTAACATTACCCCAACAAAGTCGGCTTTAGTGGAGTTGAAATGATGCCATAAAAGGGTTGTTTAAATAAGAAGTTTATTTTAAAGCAGGACTAATGCAGGCCCTTTTTAATGCACTTGGACATAGAATTTAAAATAAAAAAGTAGTCACTGGGCCTTTTAATGCAAGTGAAGTGTTGTGAGGTAAAGGGGGGGGGGGGAGGTTCACCAAGCAGAAAGCGCTAAGAAGGGTTGGAAACAAAGGAAAACAAAATGCATTAACGACAGCCAGCCCTCAGTGTAGACCTCGACACAAATATAAAAGCATATATAAAAATGCTAAGGCTGTGTGTTCCATATGGTAGGTTTTTTTTTTAAGCAATGACGTCAGCAATGGTGCAACAGCTTTTGTAAGGACTGCATTCCTTTAAAGGGCTTTTGTCAATGACTGCTCTTCATTTCTGAAAAATGAGCGGATTTTGAGAGTGAAAACTAAAATGACAAGATAAACAAGACAGCCCCCTTTTTTAGCATTGGTCTAAACTTTTACTCCTAATGGTTGTCCCTTAACAGTATAACTCAGCAACTGTACCCCGAGCACATCTTTTTTTAACTCTCCAAAGTCACAGGCCAAAAACCAAGAATGTAAGAAATTCACGTTTTAATTGCCTCTACTGTAAGCTGCAAATATTAGCCCACCTGGCTAATTAGCTTACTATATATAGAGTATGAATTATAACTAATACAACTAAAGATAGTGAAATAATAAAGCAACAATCTAATCCATGTATTGTTTTTCTCCTTATTCCTTATGTTGCTTTTCAACTCAGCTAATGGCCTAATTGACAAGCAATATGTTTCAGCAAACAAAATAGTTGTTGCCAGCAAAATAATTGGGATAAATAAGATATGTGTGATTCCTAATAAAAAAGCTGAGCAGTTTTAAAAATTGTACCTCCTTTAAATAACCTTTGGACTAGCCATCAGGGTTTAGACTGGTTTGAAAAATACTTCCATTAATTGGAAAGAGCAAGCGATCAAACAAAAAACAAGGTTCTTACATATTTGAGGGCATAGTAATAGGCCTCTTTTATAGACCCAGCCCACACCTTCCCACAGATGCCACCTATTAGTCATCAGTGAGCTGCTCCTTGAATACATGACACAAACACACATGTAAGCAATAAGCCTACAATACCAAAACACAGAATAACTGCAACTATCATTTACATGACATAACAGAACTGGTTCATGTAAGACCATTCAGGAGAGGTTTGTCAACAAAACAGTTTGTGTGGTTGGATTTAATTTAATATTTAAAATCTTTGACACTGTTAGTGAAAGCAGTCTTTCACACAGATTATTCAACCCCTCCTCATTCATTTTCTTTCATCCCCCCTCTGTCTCTTGTGTCCTCCTTTCCTTTCAGCTCCCTCCATGCTGATTGGCTTTTAAGGCTACGTGCTGTGCCAACCAACTCAGTGGGAGCTGGCAGTGAATATGAATACACTCTGGGGTCCCATTGATAAGTCTCTTTACTTATCATTGGCACACGCAGGACACAAAGGGAGCAAGAGGCTCTTGACCCTGATGATTTGAGTCTGTTTCCAGCCCACACCTAGAACCTTCCTCCAAGCAACTGTTGCCTTGGCGCCGGTCCAGAGAGTGACATCTTCAGAAGGTGACGGACAAGGTCTTCATAGACAGATGGCCGTTAGATCTAATAATGAGTATCTGCAGATTCAAACCCAGATAAATGTGTACTACCCTAGAGAGCAATGATCATTATCACTCAAGGGCGCCTTTATAGGCAGCAGGGGAATCCATCACCGGGAAAGCTTCGATACCCACAATTGCAACACCTCTTTGGGATGCAGTTCACCAAGAAACCTTCTCTTTCAAGTAATCTTACACTGAATCATGTGTGACTGTAAAAGGGTAATGTCTCTCTTTCTCCCTAGCCTTCCCCTGTTATTATGTTCCTTCTAATAATAGCAAACCATACAAAGCTGTTGCTTCTGCAAAATGTTAACATGCCTCAATATACCAGTGTTTCATTTAAGCAATCAACCATTTTTCTTTTACAACATCCCTCTCTCTCTCGGGCAGACTCAAATACTTTAAAAAAGTTTTACATTTGTGTTCCAGGTTAAAGGTTTTATGAATAATGTACATCTGACCATTTTTTCATTCACTGCTTTGAGAATGAATGAGAAAGTGAAAAGACAGACGATAATTAGGGACATTGGACCTGTCTTCAATTTAAAACAGCTAATGTTAGCATTCAAAACTTCCTAGCTAGCATTAGAATAGCAAAGATATGAATTTAACCCTGTCAGTATGTTAGGGATTTTTACTATTCCTTTTGTGTTGTGTAATAGCCTACTAAACAGTATAATAAGCTTTCAGAC